TCAGCTTTGCAATTAGCAGTTCTGCTTACATTTCAAGAGACAGCCCAGGAAGTGTCAAGACCTCAATCCTGCTTCCATGTAACTACCAATTTTTCCTCTATTTGTTGGAGCTTCTGTAATCTGGGAGGTAGGGAGCCCCCAGGGATGGCTGGAAGGGGCAAAGACTGAAGATAAAGTGCTCGGCAAGACTACGGGGTCTGCAATAACTGGGCTCCCCCCGACTTGCCGCCTCCCGGCCGCTGCTTGCTGGAAATTCGAGCGGGAATAAAGGCGGCCAGGGCCCTGCTCTGGGTAGTTATCTACCTGCTAATTCTCTAAACGCTCGAGAGTGAGTTATAATTTGGACGTGAAATTTAATTTGCGTCGGCTGGAGTAATTTATGATATTTTGAATTGATGTTCATACATCAATATCAATCGGGGCAGATTTTTACCACTTAGTAAGATCATCACACATTTAAAACCTGAACAGAATGAAATCGATGGTTGATGCATTTAGAGCGGATTGCCTTGGCGGCAGCCCGCGCGCAACGCAACGCAGCGCAACGCAGCGCGCAGCGCAACGCGGAACGGCGCCGGCGGGGTGCGGAGAGGGGCGGGGGGGCAGGGGCCGCCCCTCATTGGTCAGGACGCATCGATATGCAAATGAGCACGTGCCGCGGGCTCCCCGCGCCCCGCGGCGCCCAGCGCAACGCGCATCAGCCCCGCGGGGCTGGAGTGGCCCCTGGGCGGCCGGGAGAGCCCCCCGGGCGCCGCTGCCTTCCCCAGGCCTCCTCCTCCTCCCTGCCCAGGCTGCGGGCCCAGCGCCGCCCCGGGGAGGCCGTTGCTCCAAGGTGCGGCGTTCAGGTTTATCTGAAATGAAAAATAAAATAATAATAAAAAAAAGAAAGGTGGGGGGAATAATGAGGCTTTGTGTCTGTAACGGGATTAGCGGGATCCGCTTATCCGCACGGCGGCAGGGCGAGGGCGGGCGCGCAGCGAGCGGCGGCCGCGCGGAGCCCCCGCACGCGCGGGACGTCGGCAGCTCCGGCGCGGAGGTTGTTCCCGGTATCGATCTATGCAAATGAGCGGAGAGTCGGTCGACCGAATTGCCGTAAAAATACACTCCGAATCGAAGCGCRTTCGCCTTCGCGATCGTTAAGGGGATATTGGAAACACAAACTCCGTCCTCCTCAGCTGCACCGCACCAGCAAGACGAGGGGCTGCTCCTCGTGAGGGTGGTTGTGGAGACAGGGAAGGAGGAAAGGGCATTTCCTCGCAGCACAGACCTTTGAAACCGAGTCTGCGGGAGGGGAGGAGAGCAACGTCCTCCCGCTGCCGGGCGGAGGGAGCCTCGGCGCCGGAGTCCCCTCAGTAGCCAGGCGGGACGCGGAAAAACGCAACGAAACGGCCGCAGCGCAGCCGGCTCCCCTGAGAGCGGGCAGCGGCTCCCCTTTCCCGCAGCCGCTCGGCCCAAAGCTCAGGAACACTCGTGTGCTCGAGCGGAGAAAGATTTGGTCCTTCCTTTGCTTTTTTTTTTTTTTTTTTTTTTTTTGTCTCTCCATAAAACGGATCAGTGACCCCGACTCCAACGCGGATCGACTACCTCGCGTTCTCCAGGGACAAATTAATGGAGACCTATCACTTAATTAACAACCCCTCACTCACGGCATATTAAACGCGGGCTCGGGCGCACAAGTTGGCGGCTTTAGGGGGGAGGCAGGAGGAGAACAGGTACAAAACAGGAGGGAAACACGCTCTGCTCCTTGGGATGCCCAGGGAGACAATACCGCCGCTGATCCTTACGAATATATGGAGCCAGGAAAACTGGAGGTATTTCTGAGGTTCGCGAGCAGCGMAGGGACAAGACACAAGCTCCTTCTCACACGCAGAAGCATTCATACGAAATGCAGCCTCCACGGGCTAACGATAATTGCAATCAGTTAAAATCTAACGATTTTAGCCAATTGCATTTCTTCTGCTCTTCAGCCACTAGTTACACCGCCGGCCCATGTCATTTGTGGGAAAACAACACTCGTGCAGAACTCCTAATCTAAAACAAACGGGATGCGGCGCTAAAATGGGCTCTGCGCCCCCATGGCGCCTCCTCGAAGCCCCCCAAGCCGCACTGCCTGCCTCGAGGACCCGCGTGGGGCCGCTGCGCGCAGCGCGGACCCCAGACGGCCCCGCAGCGCAGCCCCCTTAGGGCCTTGTGCCCCGGAGCTGCCTCCGACGCCGGCCTTAATTCGCGTGCGAGCAGTGCGAGTGCTCCGAGGAGGACAAAGAGGTAAACGCGGGCAGGCGGCCCCGCGCACCCAGGGGCTCGCGGGCAGCTGTCACGCACGCCCACCCGCACACGCGTGGGCGCCAAGTTGTCGATGCTTTTGCACAGCCCTGAGTCCCGTCACGGAGCGCCAGGGAGCAACGCGGGCGCGGACCGCAACGCGGCGCCTGGTCGGGGCGGCGGCTCCGCGGCCGTTCCCAAAGTGCGCGCAGCCCCCGCGGGCGCGCGGGGCTTTGTTCGGGCACGGGCAGGTGCCGCGGGGCGGGAGGGGGGGACCCGGCCACGCTCGCGGGACCCCCCGGGCCCGGGGCAGCCGGGGGCAGCCGCTCCGCCGCTCACCTGCGAGCCGCAGGGCAGACATCCGCTGGAACTCCGGCTCCTGGAGCCACTTCCACATCCTGCGGAAGGTCTCCCGGCCGGATTTGAGCTTGCTCCAGGGCTTGGGGTTCCTCAGCAGGTCCGAGAGGGTCCCTTGGGAGCGGCACAGCACCCTCTGGGCGAAGATAGCCTGGGGGATGCTGTACCGCTTGAGCTCGGTGGTGATCCTCTGAGCGACTTCTTTGGTATTGATTTCTTCCATTTGCCCTGAATTACTTCCACTGTTGACCTGCGAGCCAGTCACGGAGGGGTTCTGCTCCCTGGCGGAGCCCAGGATCTGCCCGTGGCCCTGGGCATTGAGGTGGGCATGGGGATGGTGCGGGATGCCGTTGAGGGGCACCATGCCGGCCGAGGTGGGGGTGAGGTGCTGCTCGCCGTGCCGGGCTAGCATGGCGGGATGGTGGGCTTCGAAACCGTTGGGGGTGAGCATCTTCTCGGCGGGCATGGTGGCCCCGGGGTGCGCGTAGTGGGGCAGCCCTTGCTGGGAGTTGTGGATGCTCCCCAGGCCCGATCCAGACAAAGGCGAGAGGCTTTGCCCCATGCCGGTAACATCCTTATGGTAGGGGGTGTAGAGGTTGTTCATGGACGCCAGCCCCCTCTCGTCCCTCATGAGGGTGAAGCTGCCGCTCACGTTGCCCGGTATCCGCTGGTGGGGATGGTGGTGGTGGTGATGGTGGTGGTGGTGGTGCGGGAACTTGTCCGAGACGGTGGAGATGGGAGGTAGAGGCTGCAAAGGGGTTAACGTGGTGTAGGTGCTGCTCATGCTCATGCCGGGGGGCGTCTCGCAGGCCATGGTCATGGTGGGGTGCAGGGCGCCCGTGAGCGCGTGCTCGGGGGGCCGGTGGTGGTGGTGGTAGTCGCCGCTGTCCAGGATGGAGGCCATGCCCATGGAGCGCGGGTGCGCGGGCAGGTGGCCGCTGCGGTGGCCCACGGCGCCGCGCTGGTGCGGGCTGCCGCTGAGCAGCTCGGTGGCGGCGGGCACGGGCTCGTGGCTCACGGCGTGCAGGTCGCCCATGCTCTCCATGGCCAGCTGCGCGTTCATGACGGGCCGGGCGCGCCGCGCAGCTACGCGGCGCGCGGCCGCGAGCGGCGGGCAGGGCTCGGCGGCGGCGACATG